CTGAAGATGCTGGTGGCTTCCAACCACGGACCTTTCAGGGAGCAGCTAAGTGCTTAACCACTGAGCCACCGGGGCTGCTTCACTAAGACGAGAAAGGGGGAAATCGCCCTCGTTCCACGAGGGTCAGTCTTTAGAATAGTCAAAGCCACCAAGCGCGTCCCTGTCCGGGAATCTTCCTCACCTGGAGTCCCGCAACGGCCCAGCCCCTCCGCCGTCCCGCAACACCCTTACCTGGTCGGAGCGTGGCGGCTGCGCCCAGCACCGCAAGGAGTGAAGTCCGGCCCGAGCCGCGGGGTCTGAGTGTCCGGAGCCCCAAGTCCGCAGGCCCGCCTCCATAGCTCGCCCCGCCCTATGGATCGCCCCGCCCCCTCGCGCCGCGGCCAGGGGCGGCTGCGGGCTCCCACGCCTTTCGGCGGTTTCGAGGTTCCCCTGGCGGGTCTGGCGCGAGCGAAACCGACCAGGTGGAGCAGGGCCTCAGTGCTGGGCTCGGCTCCCGCCAGCCTGCCCTAGGCGTCCGGGGAGTCGCAGGGGCGTCCTTGTGTCCCTCGGCGAGGCTCTGGACCTCCGGAGGCCCCAGCTTCCTCGTCTAAGAACCGCCCACCAGGGCTCGCGCAGACATCCCCAGCCGGCCGGGCAGTCCCCGGTGCAGTGCCACCTGTGGGTGACTGGAGGCCCTGTCCGAATTCGCAAACGCCCCGCCCTTTCCGCAAAGCGGTGACTGGGCAGCGGAGCGCAGCGTCTAGGTTTAGCAAAGGAATAAGCCATTGACTGTCGAACGTAAGGCAACAGAGCCTGACTGATCCCAGGTGACGTTTTTATACGTCTTGATTCACTCACTGAAACCAGGTAACGCAAGACTCGCTTTGTGCCGGGCTTCTGCGTACTGAACATGAACCCAGCAGTTCTCTAAGGTAAATATTCTCATCATCGCATTTTCGCAGATGATGAAACTGAGACGGCAAATAACCGGTCTACGGGAAGGTCCCAGGATGCCGCCAAAAAACAGCTGCACGCATCTCACTGAAAGGCTGGTGGAGGTGCCTGCCCAGGCCACCCTGGTGGCTCAGGGGTTAAGAACAGGGCTGCTAACAGAAAGGTATGAACCCAGCTTGGGAGAAAGATGTGGCGGCTTGCTTCAGAAAGGGTTATTGTTATTGTTGTTGTTAGGTGCTTCTAGTAGGTTCTAGCCATAGCGACCCTATGTGTAACAGAACCGCCATCTTCACAATCTTTATTTTTTGAGCCCATGGGTGCAGCAGCCACTGTGTCAGCCCATCTCCTCGACAGCCTTCACGGCCCCTCCACTTTACCAAGCATGTTGTTCTTTCCCAAGGACTGGACTCTCCTGCCGACATGCCCAAAGGGTGTCAGACGTGAAGTTGCACCCTCCTTCCCTCTAAGGAACTGTTCTTCCAAGATAGAGGTTTGTTCTTCTGGCACTTTCAATATTCTTTCACACCCCACAGTTCCATTGGGCCACATTTTCTTTGGGTTTCCTTATTCAGGGTCCTGTTTCACATACATAATGAGAGGATAGAAAATGCCAGCTCTTGGGTCAGGCGCCCCTTAGTCCCCAAAGTCACATCGTTGCTTTCAGCCTGGGGAACTCTGCCAGGCAGCTGCCCTCTGTCCTGCAGCGTTGCTAGGCGTGAACATCAACTCCAGAATGGCTTCGTGGCACCGCAGAGGAAAAACCTGGTGATCGCTTCCATAAAGATTTGAGCGCCCAAAAACCTGCGGGGCAGTTCTGCTCTGTAACTCCTGAGGAGGCATACAGCGAATGGACTTCCGGGCATTGGGATGGATCCCGGTTTGGGTTTTGTTGGAGTTTTTTTGTTTTCTTTTCTTTTTGTGTGAGTGTGTTTTGTGTGCTTGCTTGTTTAATTGTTGGTTTGGTTGCATGTTTAAGGTAGCCCAACCAGTAAATGGAGACGCTGTGATTCAAATCCAGGTAGTTCTACTCCAGAATCTGCTCTCCTAATCCTGCCACCGCGACTCCTCAAAAAGGTGCGCATTCACCTTGGACTGAGAACTGTTACTGACCTCAGGAACACGCAGCAGTTTTTATTCCCGTGTGAGGAGCAAGACGATCACTAACCAGTAAGCATGCAGAAATGCTCTCACTTTATGTGGGAGAAATCTCTTGATTAAAACAAATCTGGGTGAAGGATTGAGGGTGATAGGAGATGATGCCAGAGCCCCCCCCCAACAGGGAACAATGGAGCTCAAGATTAACCATCCTCCTAGAATGGTTACATGAAAATAACAAATAATAATTGCCATGTTTCATGAATTTGGGGACATAAAAGTAGTTCCTTCTTTCACTATATCACCTTTCACGGGTACAACATACCTGTGAAGAAGGCTGACAAGATTCCATTTTACAAAAAAAAAAAAAATTGAGAATCGGAGAGGTTTAGTGACTTGTTCAAAGCCACACAACCAATTAGGATTATAAAGGACAAAGGATAGAAAGAGATTTTTGAACCAAGAGTCTCTGATTCCAAATCCCCTTTGTCTGTTAAGATCATCAGTCTAATTTTATTCAGAATGAATCTAGTAGAAACTTCTCTTTTGTGACCTATCTCTTCCCTGCCCCGGTCTCCTCTGGCTTAGCTCCCAGATACTTGTTTTGGCTGACTGACTAATAGGACAAAGGAACAGGCTGTAAGTAATGAACCTTCTGAAATTGTGTATGCATTGTTGTTAGGTTCTGAAATTGCGTATACATTGTTGTTAGATGCCACCTAGTTGGTTTCAGCCCTTAGAAACCTTGAAACACTGCAGGAACCTGTGCCGTCCTCACAATTGTTCCCATGCTTGAGCCCATTGTTGTAGCCGTTGTGTCGATCCGTCTCTTTGAGGTCCTTTTATTGATACCCCTCTAATTTACCAAGCATGATGTCTCTCTCCAGGGACTCGTCTCTCCTGGCACGTCCAAAGTATGGAAGACAATGTCTTGCCAGCCTTGTCTCTAAGGAGCACGATGGCTGTACTTCTTCCAAGACAGAAAGAACTAGTTCTATAACTATGGTAATAGAGTTGAAAATAAAAGTCTATCAAGAAAAAATGTATGTCTATCACTCCTTTTGCTGCAGTAGCTAATGCTGGTAGACTCATATTCTTTATTGTTTTAAAATACCCTTGACTTCATGGATAGGGGACTGTCACGGTTTATGAAGTTGACCAAAAGGGCAGCAAATGCAGGACCCCAAGCAATCTCTTCATATAAGCATTAAATGAGGGGAAATTATGTATGTTGCCCTTTTTAATTCTACTAAAAATGGCATATGATTGATCTGTAAATAAAACATTCAGATCAATGTAGCTCTGATCACTGACAATTAGGGTAATTTCCATAAGGTTACATTGTTTCCCAAGGAAGCACTCATTACACTATCAATCAAACAAACACCTTATGTAGGTGGTTTCCACAGATATGTATATGTAAGTGTGTGTAGATATAAATATATCATTATAGATCATATGTCTATATCATTCACTGAGCATGTAGTATTGGCAATTATTGAAAATAATAATATTAGAAAAAAACACCATTAGAGAATTTCAAGTGTGTTAAATGAAAAGGCATAAGAACTAAACTCAGAATGTCATTGGCAAAAAGAATAAATGAAAGTGTTTATCATTTTCCTTATTTTTTCTTACATGAAAAGATCAACAGCTTTCATAGAAAGCAACATAATTTTTGTGCCTCCAAGATTCAAACTTGTACATTAGGTCCTGGTCAGAAGAAGAAATCTAGTGGGAGTGAAGATTTCTCCACTGCTTCCAGGGAGAAGAGTCGAGTGATACTATGACTGCCTTCTTTATTTT